ACGGAATGGAAAGATAATCTTTCTCTCTCCATTGACTTCAATACATAATGTCTGCGGGGGAGAGGAAGAGACAGATCACTGCATAAATATGCAAACCTACAGTTAGCTGCTGGAGAAGAGAGATCAGGGGGGGGGCTGAGGGGCCATCAGGTGGGTAAACACACAGCTGATCACCTGAGAGCTGCCGTCTGATTTGAACATTGCACAACAATGAACTCAGTGTGTGATTGTTATAGCAGTAATATTAAACACTAATAATACAGCAAACTATGAACAATAGTATCATATTAGAGCCCGTTTGCCCGTGGGGAGATGACGAGGCTTCATCAACAATAAACCTCTTTTTAGTGAATGACTGAGTTTGGGCACGTTAATAAAGTGTTAATTTAGTTGACTGCAGTATATTCATATTTATCAGTGCTTTCGTGTCAATTCGGCGAACATAAACATAAATGATCGTGAAGATGATTAAAATAGGATTACAAATCGGTAGTGAGAGCCGTGCTGCATTTCCTCCCCTCGGATGTGATATCAAAACAAACCGATTATTGTTGTAGTTAAACCACATTTATTAGTGCTTTCATGTCAATTCGGCGAACATATGATACATTAAATGATCGTGAGGATGATGATTACAAATCGTTTGTTTGAGCCGGTCTGCATTTCCTGATGAAAAACAAACTTGTGCTTGTACTTACGCCAACGTGGATTCAACAACATTATTTTGTTAAATAAAAACAAGGTGATGTTTTGTAAATGATAACATGTCTCTTATTCAGCACAGAATATGATCCTATCCGTGACGTATGGATCTAATCCGCTATATCAGATGCCTGTAGATCTATCAGCGTGGCAGCTTTTTAATCACGGCTCCCCCTGGTGGATCCACGATCCATTGCTGCTGCTTTCATTATCATTTAATGTATTTATCAAGGGGGCGTATCAAGACATATGGGGGGTTTTCCTTTCAGCGAAGGCCCACCCCGTGCAGATCATCAATAGTTCTGGTCCTACCTGTAGAACTGGTCTTGGAGCACAGCGTAGATCAGACCCACACCCAGCAGGGAGTCCAGGACCACGGTCAGGATCTCTATGGAGACGATGTTGGGGTCAGAGGTCAGCCAGCGGCGGTCCGCCTTCCCGTACTCCTTCCCTGCCGATCAATACCTCAGATACTCATTATCAATAAATAATACAATAAACTCACAGATCAATACCTCAGATACTCATGATCAATCAATAAACTCCAGGATCAATACCTCAGATACTCATTATCAATAATAATAATAATAGTAATAATAATAATAATAATAATAATAATAATAATAATAACAGTAGACTTACAGAGCTCCGCCAGAGGACCCTCTGAAGTCTCCACCGTCCGCCCCCCCACAGACATGTACACAAACGGACCCTCCTAGACACAAATCAAACATAAACAACAATGAAAAACACTAATCAACAAACAGAGAGATCCTGATTGGTCGTACCAGCGTCAGGTGGACGATTACGTCATAGAAGAGCCACAGCACCACCCACCTGTCCGGCCCTAAGCCCCGCCCCCCACACCTGTGGGTTAGCATCACCGCGGCTAACAGCTGCAGGCTACATGCTAACAGAGACCAGAAGGAGACCAGAGACAGGCCAGAGTCCATGGAAGAGGAGTCCATGGCAGAGGAGGAGAAGAAGAGAAGAAGAAACTGCAGTTCTCTGCTGGACAATCAAGACGTTAGGTCCCACCCTAGCCTCTCTATTGGTTGTTTTGGCTCTAAACCCCGCCCCGTCCTCCCATTGGCTGCTGAGATCAGCCCACCTCCTGGCCCCGCCCCCTTCCAGAGAGTAACCTGACTCCATTCACATTACATTACATTGCATTTAGCTGACCTTTTATCCAAAGCGACTTACAATAAGTACATTCGACCAGGAAGATACAACCTTGAAGAAAAAAGAATCATAGTGCTACTCAACTGGCTATAGATAAGCCAGTCCTTTATTAGTAGCAAGTCCTTTATTATTCACAGCAGATTCATAAATACTTTCATATATTCATGTCTTTATATGTTTATATAAAAACATGAATAT